AGAATGATGAAGTCAAGGGGGATGAGGTGGGCAGGTCATGTAGCATGAATGGGGGAGACAAGGAATGTGTATAGGATATTGGTGGGAAAGCCGGAAAGAAAGAGACCACGGGGATGACAAAGGCGTAGGTGGGCGGACAATATTAAAATGGATCTTAGAGAGACAGGATGGGATGGTATGGATTGGATAGATCTGGCTCAGGATAGGGACAAGTGGAGGGCTCTTGTGAACACAGTAATGAACCTTCGGGTTCCATAAAATGCTGGGAAATTCTGGAGTAGCTGCAGAATTGGCAGCTCCCTCAAGAAGGGCTCAGCTCCATGAGTAAGTAAGTAAGTAAGTAAGTAAGTAAGTAAGTAAGTAAGTAAGTAAGTAAGTAAGTAAGTAAGTAAGTAAGTAAGTAAGTAAGTAAGTAAGTAAGTAAGTAAGTAAGTAAGTAAGTAAGTAAGTAAGTAAGTAAGTAAGTAAGTAAGTAAGTAAGTAAGTAAGTAAGTAAGTAAGTAAGTAAGTAAGTAAGTAAGTAAGTAAGTAAGTAAGTAAGTAAGTAAGTAAGTAAGTAAGTAAGTAAGTAAGTAAGTAAGTAAGTAAGTAAGTAAGTAAGTAAGTAAGTAAGTAAGTAAGTAAGTAAGTAAGTAAGTAAGTAAGTAAGTAAGTAAGTAAGTAAGTAAGTAAGTAAGTAAGTAAGTAAGTAAGTAAGTAAGTAAGTAAGTAAGTAAGTAAGTAAGTAAGTAAGTAAGTAAGTAAGTAAGTAAGTAAGTAAGTAAGTAAGTAAGTAAGTAAGTAAGTAAGTAAGTAAGTAAGTAAGTAAGTAAGTAAGTAAGTAAGTAAGTAAGTAAGTAAGTAAGTAAGTAAGTAAGTAAGTAAGTAAGTAAGTAAGTATATGTCAATGTCATGTCACACAAATGCGGAATAAATCATAACATAAAGATAACTAACAGATCCTTTTAAAAAGGTGGCAAAGCTCAAATATTTTGGAATTAAATAATTGGAGGCTGGAGAAAATTGCATAATAAGGAAATCCTTAATTTGTATTCCTTGTGAAATACAGTTGGAATGATCTAGTCAAAGAGGATGAGATGGGTACGGCATGCAGCATGCATGGGAAAGAAGTGAAATGCATACAGGTTTTTATTTTTGTGGAAATACCAGAAAGAAAGAGACAACTACAAAAACCACGGAGAATGTGGTAGGATAATACTAAATGGATCTTAGAGAAATAGGCTGGAATGGTATGGACTGGATTATCTGGCTTTGGCTAGGCAGCAGTGGAGGACCCTTTTGAACACAGTAATGAAGCTTCAGGTTCCATAATATGCTGGAAAATTCTTGAGTAGATCAGCCACTGCTGGCTTCTCAAGAAGGACTCAGTTCCATGGAGTTAGTTAGATAACACTATTTGAAATTGAGAATTGAGAATGGCAAATTTAGAATTAGAGGACAGAGTAAAGAATAAGAGAAATTCCCACCTTTGAGAGTCCATAATCTTCTTCTACTTCATATGCAGATGAAGTAGGCCTCAGAAGAATAGTATGAGACTTGATCCTCTTACTGGGGTTCCATTCATAGCCCACAGCAGCCTTTACGCGAAACTTGATCATCTTAGCAGCAGCTCTGAAATGCTGAGCTCTGTCTTTTAACACAGGAAGTAAAGTGAACATGTGATCTGCCTTCTCATCCAAGGTCTTCATAGGCGTAATCTCCTGAGCCAACTGTAAATGTGCACACAGTAAAAATTAACTGCTGAAGCATGGTTACACAAAATAATACTGAATGTTACCCATAAAATGGTCATAAAATCTCACAGACATTACAGTTTCAACTAAACTAGTGAATTCACACAAAAACTACAGCAAAATGCATATTGATACAAGATACAGTAAGTTAAGAAAATCAAGACATGCCAGTATTAATAAGGTTTAACATTTCTGAGAGGACATACCTTACTGACAGCTGCTGCTGTAGCTTCATGTGGTGCAATGACACTGAACATTCTGCATAAGAGATTTGCCTCAAACTTCTTCTCGTTACTACCCATCACATGTTTGACCCATAACTTCACGAAGATGGGGGCACTGTCCAATAGATACAGGTGTCCCTCCCGCCCCTCTGCCTCTAGTTCCAGGGCCAGTTCCAGTGCCAGCAACCCTCCAAATGAGTAACCCAGCAAACTGAATGGTGCCCCTGGTGCTAGCCTGCTGTGTATGTGCTGCAGGGACAGAGCAGTATGACACCACATGATGTTATATTCTGTCACAGTTACCTTGTAGTGTTAGGGCAATCATAATGTGACATAACTATTTAATCATTGTCTGTTGCTTCCTAACAGCCCAATAAGCAAGCGAGCCATTGCCTGGCATAAGCTATCCAACATTTCAGCAACAATAAAGGGATTGAAGAAAGCAGTCTTCTGAGATTTTGCACCGTGCATATGTGGTGTTAACCGAGGTTTTGGAGGAACGTATCGCCTCCATATTCGCTTGCGGATTTCTTATATTTTTCCTTCTACCCTGAAGATGGAGGCGATACGTTCCTGCGAAACGTCGGTTAATATCACATATACACGGTGCCAAATCCTAGAAGACTGCTTTCTTCACAGTCACCGCCATGAAAGCCTCAAATATTACAATAAAGAGATTGTTCAAGAATAAGCACACAGCAACAGGAAAGCCATGGGAACGGGGTTTTCTGTGTGGTTTATTCCAAATTACATAAGAAGAATAGAGTTTCAGTTGAATGAGTTACAGAGAGCGGAAGAGTTGAGTGGATTAGCAGAGAGTTATGTGTTGCAGTTAGTGAGAAAAACAAGCAGCAGATAATTTCTACACAGAGGTACCCATAGTGAGCTGTATGTAATGAATTCACAGCCTTCCCTTCTTTGGTGCAACCATTGCTGAGTGAAGCCTGTGGCCTGGCTGCAGGACTGTGCAGATCAAGTGCTTTGTGGTTAAAGCATATAATAAACTGTTACTTACTTACTTAGTTATGGAGCTGAACCCTTCTTGAGGAGAAGCCAAATCTGCAGCTACTCAAGAATTACCCAGCATTTTATGGAACCCAAAGGTTCATTACCATGTTCACAAGAGCCTTCCACTGGTCCCTATTCTGAGCCAGATCAATCCAATCCAAACCATCCCATCCTATCTCTCTAAGATCTATTTTAATACTGTCCACTCACCTATGCCTTGGTCTTCCCAGTGGTCTACTTCTTTCTGGCTTTCCCACCAATATTTTATATGCATTCCTCTTCTCCCCCATTCGTGCTATGTGCCCTGCCCACCTTATCCTCTTGACTTGATCATTCTAATTATTCTTGGAGAAGAGTACAAGTTATGAAGCTCCTCATTATGCAGTTTTCTCCAACCTCCTGTCACTTCATCTCTATTCGGTCCAAATATTCTACTCAACACCCTGTCACCCTGTTCTCAAATACCCTCAGTCTATGTTCCTTCCTTAATGTCAGAGACCAAGTTTCACACCCATACAGAACCACAGGCAAAATTATAGTTTTGCATATACTTACTTACTTACTCATGGAGCTGAGCCCTT